ATGATAGCCCTGTTTAAATATTTGAAGGGGTGTCATATTGAGGATGGAGCAAGCTTGTTTTCTGCTGCTCCAGAGACTAGGACCCGAAACAATGGATGTAAGCTAAAGGAAAAAAGATTCCACCTTAACATTAGGATGAATAACCTGACAGTAGGAGCTGTATGACAGTGGAACACACTCCCTTGGGGTGTGGTGGAGTCTCCTTCTTTGGAGGTCTTTTAACAGAAGCTGCATAGCTATCTGTCATGGGTGCTTTGACTGTGAGTTCCTGTATGGCAGGGGTTTGGACAATACTTTTGTAGAATATTGAGGTCTCTTCCAACTCTATGATTCTATTCTAAGAAGAACAGTATGCTTTGTTAAAAATGGAAAAGGAGGTGAGGAATATTGGGGAGGGGAAAGGGCCAGATAAGGACTGGTTGTTAAATTTAAATTAGTTTTTAAAACATGCTAATGAATATTTTCATAGCCTCTCACATGGCGCTGAGAATTAGTTGAACAGAATGCTTGAGGCAGCATAGGGGAGAAAAGACTCCAGTCAGCTGTAACAGATGAATATGAATGCTTTGAGATTTCTTGCCAAATGGGTATCCCTCAGATTGGCAACATGAAAAAATAACACCTATCAATCTTATTGGGCTCTTATATGATAATTAATAATTGAGATAGCAGAAATGTCAGGCTATTGCATGAAGGGTGATGGCTTACATTGATAATAAAAAGTGGTTCTGAATATTTTTCACTATGGAGAAAAGACATAAGGTTTTATATCAGAGTTCTTTTTTAAAAAAAACCTTAAAATTATACTACTGTGGTTTTTTTAAAAAAAAGTTGGATAAGGAAAGAGGTCCGAAACATGATTAAAAGAGTCAGATAGGCACACTGAAAGACTGCAAGTGATGTTGCTAGGGTTATACATTTCAAATATTTTCTTCCTTCTGAGTCAGGTTATAAGAGGTTTTGTGCATTTTTAAATTATTTCTTTCATTCTAATAATAATATAATAATATATTTTATTTGTATACCGCCCTAGTGGAAAACCAATCTAGGCGGTGAACAATAAAAATTGTAAATTACAACAAGTTAAAACAGCAACATCCCTCCACCCCCCCTTAAAACATTATTAAATCAAGTACAATTAAAACAACTGCAGTTAAGCAGTACTTAAACTAAAACCAAATATATATAACAACATCAGCTACAACACACAGCACAGCAAGCGATACAGCAGTCGATGATACAATTGGAGGGTCCCTGGGCTAGTTATCTAGTCCGGAAAGGCCTGCCGGAAGAGATCCGTCTTAACAGCCTTTTTAAAGCTGTTTAAAGATGTTAATTGACGGATCTCATCCGGCAGGCCGTTCCAGAGTCTGGGAGCGACAATAGAAAAGGCCCTCTGGGAGGTCGCCGCAAGCCTGGCTCTTTGCGGCTGCAGCAAGTTCCTCCCAGAGGATCGGAGGGCACGGGGAGGATTATATGGGAGGAGGCGGTCTCTGAGATAGTTTGGGCCCAAGCCATTCTGGGACTTTTGAGGGGATTGCAATAATTTTATGCATGAAAAGCATCTACTTTTGTACAAAAAAAATATGCCATGGCTCAGTGGTTTGGAATTCTGGGATTTGTAGTTTTGTAAGATATTTTGCTTTCTCTGTCAGAGCGCTGCTGTCACAACAAACTACAAATCCCTGGATTCCATGGGATGGAACCATGACAGCTAAAGCAGTGTCAAATTGCATTATTTCTGCCATGCAAACACAGTCTAGGTTTCTTGATTGAGAATGGAAAAGCAAATAGAATTCAGTCATTCAGGTGCACAGAAATAAGTTTTGCATATGTTCAGAGGCACTCAAAAATTTTTATTAAGATTATTCTCCCTTAATTCACTGACATATCTTTGCAAGCAGCACTTATTTCTGCACTTGCAATGGATCAGTGTCCTCTGGTTGTTGCTATTATTATTATTATTATTATTATTATTATTATTATTATTATTATCATCATCATTATTATTATTATTATATAGGACCATTGATATACCTGGCATTTCACAACAGAAAGTTGTGACTTCAATATAAAATACTGAAATACAATACTTTTATAGAATATTGTAAAATGCCATAGTAAAATACAATGGTAAACTACAATAAAAAAAGCTACACACACAAACACAAAATGCAGGATAAACAGACAATCAATTATCCAAAAGTTTTAGAAAACAAAACAATTTTCCATTTGGATTTGAAAACAGCAAGAGAAGGAGCCATTTAGAGGGAGGTGATTCAAGGAATAGGGGGCAGCAAGTGAAAAAGGATGAAGCTGAGCCAAGGAGGGGGCAACCCTTGCCTGGGGACTTTATCACATAGGGGGAAACTGAGGGATTCAAAAGGCATTATTCAAGAAAAGTTGCATGATCATGGCTATGATTATCATATGATGTCATGATTAGAGAGGACTTATCTCGGGAATAACCAGGGAATAACCAACAACAAATTATTCACAGGGAAATCCCATGAATGATTTGTTGCTGGCTATTCTCAGGATAAATCCTCTCTAATCACGATATGTGTGATAATCTTAGCCACAATCGCACAACTTTCCCTGGATAATGCCTTTTGAATCCCCCGATTTTGCTGCATGTGATAAAATCCTGGGTGAGAAGCCCAGTATTCCCAGAGCACAGATTTCTAACAGGCTAGTAAGAAGAGGTGCAAAATAAAGAGGAGCTAGGTTATGCAGGACCTTGAATGCCAGAGTCCTATTAGAGGGAATAGACAACCAATGAAGGGGTATTAAAATTGGGGGAACACGCTCTAAACAATAGGCCAAAAAGATAATCTTAGTGGCAGAATGGAGAATGGAAACTAAAGGATTAAGCTGAGATAACAGAAGACCATACAAAAGAAGATTACAGTACTCAAGACATAAAATGAATAAAGCATGGACTAAAGTCTTGGCGGAGGAAGCAGAGAGGAAAGGTCTAATTTTAATGATGTTATAAAGGAAATGACTGAAAAGAACACAGCATACCTTACTCAATTTTAATATAATTCCTTATTAGCCTTTAACAAATAAGGTGTTGAAACGCAAATGCATATGTTGGTTTCTTAGATGGGAGGGGAAGAAAGAGGCAGTGGCCAAAAAAAAAAAAAAAAAAGTGAGAAGGGTGTAAAATGAAATCCATTACTGTAGGAAAAACTTTCCCAACCTGACTAGTATCACTGAAGTCCCACCAGGCAAAAATCATATTGTGGGATTTTCAATTCATCTGCCAAAGTAAATTTAAGTCAATGATTAGAGCACATTTGAAAGATTCTATAATAAAATGTGCCCCTAAGGATCAGTGGTGACAACCCCCACATTATTCTCTGTAAATCCTATGGTCTGTTTTGAATACTAACAGCTCAAGTGATGAATTAAGAAAATTAAACAATTTCAGCCATTAACATTATTGGCAACAAATTAATCTCTGAAATTCTAATGCACAGCATTAATGAATTTATTTTCAAATTTATCGTTCCATGTTTTGGGTATCATGGGTATTTATTCCCAGCTCATCCATAAACAAACAGAGATGGAAATCCATGAAATTAACAGGATGCAGAGCTCAGTATCTCTTTTATGTCAAAACTACTCTGAACTGGGGAACAAAGAATTAGTTAATGTCTCAAAATGAAAAATTTCCATTCAGAGATTAAAAGAAATGAAACTAGGAATTTAACTACCCAAGCTAAAGTAATTAATGATTTTTTTTAAAAAAAATGAGATCTTTTATAATTCTGGTGAAACAAACTCATCTGATCTTGGAAGCTAAGCAGGGTCAGCTCTGGTTAGTGCTTGGATGGAAGGCCATCAACAAATACCAAGTGCTGAAGGCTATACATCAGAGGAAAGAACTGGCAAAACTACCTCTGAGTATTCCTTGTCTAAATTAATCCCTGAGAAAACCCTATTAATCTCTAAGAAAACCCTATGAAATTCATGGTGTCACCATAAGTCAACAGGTAATTTGAAGGCACAAACACACATGCATACAAACTAAACCAAACAGAGCTAGAGGAGTATATTGACGTGTAGCTATAGAATATAAGCCTTCCACTGAGATGCTTTGAATGCTGTGATTACAAAACAAGAGCTAACAAGTCTTTTTTTCCCTCAATTAAATATATTTTAGAGATGGGGAAAAGAAAGCTGCTAAAGCAGACCTTGGAGCATCAGGACTGTGACTTACCTCATACCAGAGTGAGGAAGACCACCGGCAAGGATGAAGAGAGAGAGGAAAGTGCAGGAGTATATTTAGAGGCAATAGTGGGGTGGAGACTAAACCTGTTCCCCCATTGCTTTTGAGTTGTGTGTGCAGTGAGGGGGTATTTAAATTTTCCTTTGAGTACATCCCCCACTGGGTTTGGGAGTAAGCCTCTGTCAGAGCAACAAGGCCTTTTGTTATATGTCTTCAAGTCATTTCCAACTTATGATGACCCTTAACAAGCCTATCACAGGGTTTTCCTGGCAAGATTTTCCTGGCAACCACTCCCAGATCATGGAATGGCCTGCCGGACGAGATCCATCATATCACCACCTTAAACAGCTTTTAAAAAGCTGTTAAGACTGATCTCTTCCAACAGGCCTTTCCTGATTAGATATCCTGGCCTCAAGAGTTAGCCCATCCTTTCTCCTATTCTCTACCAGAGTTATTGTTATTTGTCTGCTTTGTCACTGCAATTTATTTTAATTTGTTTTAATTGTTTATTGTTTAATGGTATTTTAAGGAGTGGGTGGGTCTTGGGATTTGTATTTTTGTATGGTAATTTATGGTATTTTTAACGTTGTACACCACCCCGGTTGTGTTCGCAGAGGGGTAGGATAAAAATATATTATTATTATTATTATTATTATTATTATTATTATTATTATTATTTAAGATTTATTCAGAGAGTTTTGCCAGTGTCTCCCTCTGAGGCTGAGAGAATGTGACTTGCCCAAGGTCATCCAATGGGTTTCCATGGCTGAGTAGCAATTTGAACCCTGGTCTCCAGGATCATAGTCCGATGTTCAAACCACTACACCACACTGGCACAAAAGTTTACTTTTTAGTTAACATTCACAGAACTGGGGTGTAACTTGTGAAATGGTCTTTTCAACAAGAGAGAGGCACATTAAAAAATCCTACCCACTGATGTGTCAAAGGTGACATAATCAGCCATTAGTTATGCCAAGAGTCCTTGGCTTCAAACAAAGAAATTCTTTGGCTCCAGTAGAGGTGCATCTAGAGGCGGTATGTCTACATTTATGTGTGGGCAAAGCATCTGCTGAAACATTGTGGCTGTGTCAAGTGCAAGCATAAACCATAACTAATTAAAAATTAAATCCACCATCCACAGATGGCTTTGAGTTTCTTGTATGCTAGTATACAATTTCATTCTAGTGGCAAAATACAAGGCAAATTCTGCCAAACATTTCATTCAAAAATTCCCAAGTATTTTAATTACATTTTCAAGACATTTTCTTGTTTAACTAAATGCCTATCGTTCTAGCATATGTTTTTGTACCAAACCATGCATCCTTCATCTGCTTTGTTTCATAATGTTATTCTTCCAATTTTATAGTTCATTGTTCTGTAAGAAAGCACCTGCACTACAAAACCCTGTAATTAATTTGTTAAATATCCAGCTGTCACTGCACAATTGACATTTGTATGGGAGCTGGTGGGGGAAGGAACCTGGAACTCTAGGACAGTCCATTTCAGGGTCAAACTTAATTTATCTGTTTGACAGGGAAATGTTTAGGAAGGGCTTAAAACCTCATTTGACTGATTTCTGCAGAGCATTTTCATGTTAAAGGTGCAAGAACACAGGCTACAAAAAGGCTAGCAACCCTAATTCATGCTTTAAACTACCGAGATAGTGTTGTTTTGAATGATGGATTAAGACTGGAGGCATTGAGCAGGTCACACTCTCTCAGCCTCAGAAGAACAATTTTTGCCAAGAGAGCCCTAGGATAGGTCACTGTAAGCTTAAAGTCACAGCTTTAAAGTCAGCTTAAAGATACAAAACAGCAGCAAGGAAACCACTTAGCTCTTTATTTCCTTTTCAGTAGTTGTGTTGTTGGTTGCAACACGCTTTTGTTGTTTTTGATCCAGTGATGCCATTTGAAGAGCCTTCATTCCAGACAGTCCAGAAAATAGGAATGGACAGAAAACTGCAGGGAAGAGGTTGTCTCCACTCATGAGATCCTTTGCTGGATGATGGTAACTACAAGATGAGGATCATGAAGATAATTAAGCTGACAACTACAATGGATAATCTTTTCCTTTTGTTCCACTCACTTATTGGTTTCACATATTTTTAGACAGATATCCCCTGTCTAACTTCTGCAAAATGTATAAAGATAATTTTATTTCCTGAGACTTTATTTTTAGGACCATTTTGTCATCGTGTACAATGACATATGTCCTGTGAAGCAAAGTATTTATTTATTTTAATTACTCTAGCTACTGACTCAGGAAACAGTAATTAATTACTCTAGCTACTGACTCAGAAAACAGTATACCAGTGAAGGGAGGAAGAGAAACAACATTTTATAAGCCATGGTCACTTCTTTATCCTTGCAACCATTCTGAAAAGGCTTTTGGTATCAGTCTGACATATCATGACTTCCCTTGGGAAAAAGGTGTGGCTGGTTGAATCTGGCCAGATTAAATAGTTTTTGATTTTGTGATGACTGCTCTGTGAAACTGGTTATTCAGCCAATCTTAAATAAGGAAAAAGAGAGAGAAATTCAGCAAATGTGGTCCTCTTCTTACTTAATTGACTCTACCTGGCAATGTTCTGTGTGCTACACATCTGTTAAAGATCCAGGGAGACCATGCTTCTGTTCACCATAGCAGCTGATAGAATCACACCTTTCCCAAGAAAGAATAACACATAAATAATACAGACCATACAGACTTTCAAAAATTTCTTCCTGGTCCCAGAAACTGGAATTATTTGAATAAAACAAGTATAAATAATAACAGAGCACATCCAGCATGAAAACAATACACATCTGCTAATGTTCTGTTTCCTTCTCACTTCTGCACTCATGTCATCTGGCACCCAATTAGTATTGCCACTATTTGTAATGGAAATTGATAATGGATATTTTCCCCTCCTGAAAATGTATCTACCCATTTGGAATAATTTTAGGGACATTCAAAAGGCACATGTTAAGGCAATTTCCAGAGAGATTTTTTTTCTTTTAAATTATGGTAACCTAAACATTTATTATCAAAAATTAAAGAGATTTAACAGTTTCCAAAGCATATTAACACAAATTTGTACAAAGGCTTTTTAACTAGCTTGGTTGTTGTTTTAAGTAAAACAGTTATACAACTCAGCACATATGGAGGAAGACTTGCTGTTGTTGTTTTTTAAGAGAGTGTTTAAATTTGCATAATCTTACAGCAATGGAACAGAGAAAGTATGCAGGCAATGTCCTTTCAAGGAAAAACATAGCAGTAGGAGAATAATTGTGAACATACAGAACAAAATTGTGATAAAATGGAGAACTGAAATTAGGGTACAGATCTTATTTCACACTTCAAAAATCTGTGATTATATGTATGCCTACACATATATATGTATTTATTTATTCAGAATTTCAGTATTGCTTTCCAGCATTAGTTTCTAAGGCAACACTGATAAAATTATAAAATATGATATTATAACATGCAGAAAAGCATAAAATAAAAAGATACACCCAAACCAGAAAAATAGTGATTAAAGCAACATCCTGAACTTCACATAAAATGATATGAACAGTCTTTTGTGAGCTATGCATAAAATATGCCACGGTGTGGCAGTGGCCAAAGAACATCACCTACAGCTATTCCCAACAGTCTATCTACATTTATTTAATATTTTATAGGATATTTGTGAGAGTGGAACCCTCTCAAGTTGACATATATAATAGCAGAGCAATAGCATACCCTCCAACTGTCCTGATTTGGTACAGAGAGTCTTCAAAACTGTGAAGGGCCTCTGTTGACTTCAGAATACAGGCAGACTGATAGCAACTGAAAGCAGGCCTTTGAGCAATTCAAACTCAAATGGCTTTAGCTTTAAACTTTAAAACAAGACATTTAAGTTAAACTCAGAAATACAGCCAATATCTGGGCTGCTCCATTCTATGCCAGCCAGTGTTTGCAAATTATATTTTAAAAGGAGACCACTAGAGTGTGAATTAAAGTAGTTCAGTCACAAGAACATGATTGACAAAGGCAAGACCAGCCATTTCCAAACAGGGTTGCAGCTGGCATGCCAGCCTAGGCTGATGAAAGTACTCCTGATCTCCATCACCACCTAAATTTCTTACCAGTAATGTTGAATTCAAGAGCATTGCCAGACTCAGCATGTGGCTCTACAAAGGAAATCCAACCTCATCTAAGAAGCAAATTGGTCAGTTTCCAACTGAAGGTTAAATGGCTTTCCAGTTTTTGAGGGTCATCTCTAAGAGGGAGTAGGCCAATTTCCAGCTCATCTAACAGATCAGGCCCTTTCTTCCATTTCCAAGACTTAGAGCCTTTACAGACTGGCAGAAATAATGCACCTTGAGGCCACTTTAACTGTCCTAGCTCAGTGCCTCAAGCTGCATTATTTCTGGCAGTCTGTAAAGGCCCTTAATCAATCTGTTGCTGCAATTTGCAAAGTATCTTTAGGAGAGCTATGTATTTCATTAACTAGTTTCCTCCTTTCCTCATAGTTGTTGTGGTGCCAGATCTCACCCTCCTTTCTGCTCTTTGTCCATCTTCAGGCTAGAAGCAAGTGGTCTAGATTACATGTGCTTTATCTCATCTCCCTAAATAGGTGAGAAATAACAATCCTTCCATTTAACCTTCAGTTGGAAACAGCCCAGGTTTTCCTAAGACTTCTTTCTTAATTTCCAAAATATGTACCTTCCCTCTCTCCCCTGCCTCTCTACTTGAATGGCAAGGTGTGATCAATTGTGATTGCTACTTAATGCATAACAGTTAATGACATTACCAGGGGCCATCCCTAGGTCTCAGGTTTTGGCCCAGAAACCTTAGGGCCCGGGATGATCCTCACCTGGCAGAGGTTCAAGGAGTTGTAGCCCCAAAAGGTAACTTTCCCAAGTTTTGATTCAGACATAGCATTTTGAGTAGCTGAGGATATGGATCTGTAGTCAACTGATTGTCAGGGAAGTGGGAACAGGGATGCCCCCTTCTTTGACAGAGAACACTGAATTTCCATATTACCAGCTTAAACAGGCCTTTCCTGATTAGTCCTCCTGGCCTAAGGAGCGAGTTCATTCCTTGCCCCTACCCTCTGCCACACCTATTGCTGGTTGTCTTCTGCTACTATGACTTTTTTAGTTAATTAACTGTCTGTTGTTCACTTGTTTTAATCTTTTGATGTTTAATACTATTTTAAGGGGTGGGTATGTTTTCGGACTGTATATTGTGATGTTTCATTGTAAGCTGCCCCAATTGCATCTGCAGAGGGTCAGGATATAAATTAATAATAATAATAATAATAATAATAATAATAATAATAATAATAATAATAATAACAACAACAACAACAACTATTATCCACCAAGGCAATCAAAGCTGTCTCTGTCCTATAGCAAGGTTTGAAGCCAGATGAAATGGATCTAGATTTTAAGAAGGATATAGACACATTGGAGCAAGTTCTGAGAAAGTCAGCAAGGATGATAAGAGATATGGAGAACAAAGCACATGAGGAGAAGTTGAAAGAGTTGAGAATGTTCATCTTGATGAAGAGAAGATTGAGAGGTGACATGATTGTATTATTTAAATACCACAAAGAGGAGGGTGCAGGCTTGTCCTCTGCTGCCTCAGTGGGTAGAATTAGATCTAATGGTTTTAGGTTACAGGATACAGGCAATAAGAGCAGTTCAGCAATGGACACAATTATCTAGAGAGGTGGTGGGATCTCCTTATCTGGATGTCTTCAAAAAGAGGCTGGACAGCTACCTACCAGGGATGTTCCAGCTGGAGTTCCTGGACTGAACAGAGGGTTGGACCTGATAGCCTGCAGGGCCCCATCTAACTCTG